ATCACATCTTTTAATATTTTTAATTGCATTATCATTTCATTCATGATACTTGGGTAATTGTTAATACCAAAATAATAATAATAATAATACTTGAGTAATTAGATCAAACTTATCATAATTTCTTCTTCTTCCTCTAGAAATTAGGGAGTATTAATTAATGGAACGAGTTATCAATAAGAAAATTAATTAAGGATGATAAGTATAATATATAAAAATAATAATAAAAAATAAAACAAACGGGTCAACTTATTAACCCACGGGTTGACCCTAACCGACTCGTGACCCATACGGATTGATAATACGTGTTATCTACGGGTTGCGGGTTGAGATGTGTAGACCCTAACCCATTTTTTAAGGGTCGGGTTAGGATTGGGTTAACGGGTCGTGTGGATTTTTGCCAAATCTAGTAATATCCACTCATTATTAGGTACCATTTTCGTCAAAGAACAATAAATATTTTTTTATATAAAAATTGTCTCAAATAATAGTTAATTTTTATATTTTAAGGGAAATAACTATTTTTTTACCTATTTTAACTTTATAATTATTTCTTAACTTTAATTATTTATGTCATCATAAAATTTTTTTATTTTTTTAAAAATAAAATAAAAAAATAAAAATTATCTTTAAATTTTTAATTCAAAGTTCAAATTAAAAAATATCTATAATTTTGAAATAGAGAAACAATAATTTTATTAAATAAACTTTTTTTACTTAAAAATGTATTTTTTACTTTAATTCTTGTTATTTTATTATTATTTTTTTATAAGATAAAGCAAGTGGTTTAAACTATGAAAAAGGAGATAAGAAGAGGAGTTACATAAATTCAAACCCTTGCAAATGTGTGAGAAAGTCTTTTACATTTAAATATTTAGCTATTGGGCTTACACATCTTCCTTTGCTATTTTATTTTTTAGAAATTAACTAATTTCTATGTTTTATTTTATTAAAAACTTTTTCTAATATGTATTCTTGCATTTATTACACTTTTAGTAATTTGATTTTTATAAAATAAAAATAAAAATTGACTTTAATTTTATTAAATATTCAATTAAAATCATTCATAAGTGACTTAGAAAATAATATCTTTTATTTCATTTTCCTAATATAATTAATTGCTAGAAGGTGGATTAAATGCTCTCTTAACTTAGCAAAACTATTTATTAATCAAATGGGAATGAAAGGATGGGGGTTTAAATCTACTTGTGCATGAGTTCTTCAGAATTTTGAACCAATATTGTGAATCAAATGGTTTATTGGTTTGTCCATTCATCAATTTTACCAATTTTTTCAGGTTTTGATCAAGTTTTACTTTATATTGGCTTTATACCAAGAACCAAACTGTTTCTTTATTGGGTTACCAATTCATCCAATCAACCATTCATTTTGGTCCGGTTTTTATAACATTGACTTCAAGATCAAATCATCCTGTGCAGATCTTGGGCACATTCTCACTACTCATCCCATCCCTAGCATTAACAATTCTTTAAGAGACTTTGA